TAATTTTTTTGTGATGCATTGTTGACGGTAGTTATCATAACTTTTTTGGATATCATGTGGATTTTGTTTCCATATCTGCGCACAAGCTTCCGTAGTATTTGATTTTGTGCGTTTTTCAATTTAGTGTTTTTATACAATATTGGACAGCAGCTCTAAAAAAAAAGAAACTGGTTAGGAATCTTTGTAACACAACTGCCATCGATGCTATGTCTTTGTTTAACAAAAATTATTCTTCTAGGCATTGACATGAGAGAAGCATAAGCAAAGCTAATGCACACGTAAAAAAACGATGCTTAAATAAAATTTTGTAAACAATTAAAATGGTAGGTTAGACATTGTAATCTTATTCGGATACTAAACAAATTTAGGAGCATGTATTTAAACTAAAATAAGTTAATTTCAATGATTAAAACAAAGATTATTCAGTTACACTTTATCTTGCGAAACAAATATAAATATTATTGGTTTCTTTTGTATCAAATATTTACTAAATCGATTGAAGATGATTAACCATCCTAACATAGGCGCAAAAATTCATAGTGTGATTAATTGTTACATTTCGATATAATATAATTAAACAGCTATTGTGTTTGCTATGATCATAACCTAAAATATACAATTAATTGAAATCTATTCATGCCAACAAAGGAATAAAGCAACAACGAATGTATTATCGTTATCTAAGGCTATACAAAGTTAGTTTTTTCGTTTGCATAGCATGAAATCAGAAAATTGGGTCAGCACTGAGATTTTTTCTCCATCGGTCCCATCGGATAATTCCGGGATACCAAGGTCTACCGGGTAATGTCGGATAAATTGATAGAAGAATTAAATAGCAAAAATAGAATAATTGGCACAATTGGGACTTTAAAAAAAAATTTTTTTTTGAAAAATTGAAAAAATGGGTCGACGGGTTATGCAAAACGAAAAATTAACTTTGCGTGGCCTAATAACAAGTTGATTTTCTTTATTGCTTAATGACTTAGTATTTAAATTGGTTACAAATCTTATTAAATGATGCTAAAACACTAACTTATTTTTTGGTTTACATATCTTGTTTGTCACTTTTCTACTTTTTTTTGCATGAACGAATTTAATATTATTTAATGAGCTTTGAGTTGATAGATTTCTTTTACTTATCCTAGCCTTTAACTCTTCTGCAGCTTTTACGCAGATACTTTCAAGAGGTTTATTATCTCTAAAAACTTCTCTAATAGCAGCGAGTAAATTTGCTTGATTAATCCCTCTCCCTTGATTATTCTTCAAATGACGTTTCACAAATCGTGCAAGAATCAAATGACTTTTGCAAGATCCAATATTTGATAATCCTGAACTCGAAGATAATAATTGGCGCATAATACTTTCTTCTTCTTCTTTTGGTTGCAGTATAGTATTTGTTACTCCTCTTGGTCGCAGCTTAAAATGATTTGCAACAATATCAATGATCTGTTTTTCTGCATATTCAACTTCAATTCCTCTTTTGCATAAAAAGCTAGATCCTTTTGTTGAATGCATTGAATCATTGTTAACAAATCCCCAATTTTGAAACTCTTTATGTAGTTGAATATGTTCTGAATTTTTCTTTATTTGCTTATATAAAGCTTCATAATTTGCTTTAACTTGTAAGATCGTATTATGCCATAATTGAGAACAAACTTGCTCTATAATTTTGGCGTCTGTGGTTTGTTCCTGAATAAAATGTGCAACCGCGCTTTTAAAGATTGAATAACCGTTAGTTTCAGGTTCATTTTTTTCATGCTCCTTGTTCCATGGTGCTTTCTCTTGATAGTAATTTAGCGTCGGATGATAAAAATCTCTGTTTTGCATAAGAAGTTCATACGTATGCAAGTAGTATTTGTCCTTTGATACGGAGAGGTCCGACTTGCTTGTAGACATAAGCAAATACAAAGTGTTGGACGATAAAATATTGATGAGTTTAAATAATTTTCGAGTAGTTGGTACAAATAATTAATGAATATTATTGCTATCAAAAATATAAAATGCTAAGTTTTATTTAAAAAAGTAAACAAAGAATCAAGCATAGTTAGTGTTTAGCCGATCAAATAAGCCAAGCTACAATTTGAATAGATCTTAATTTAGCAGTGATAAGGTAGTGCCAAAATAAACAATTCTTTGTTTTTAAAAGTTGGCAATGAATAGATCATCAAGCACCAATAGAAATAATAATCGACGGATAAGTATTACTACAAAGCAGATACTACCAAATTAGTTCCATAAATATTTGAGAGGTTGACTGTCACTGAACGGGATTAACGTTAATGCCTTTTTTTATGCATGGTGGTAAGCACCATCGGTTTTAGGTTCCTTACGCCCAGTTAATTCTTTGTTTTATCACTCATCAAAAGTGTCTTTTTATATCTATAAGAGGAAATTTGAATAAAAACTAAAAAATTAAACTTGACTAAACTTGATAGCCAGGATAAACTCAGGTTCTAACGAATTTGCAGCTAGTGCAACAAAGCTTTCAGTTTAGATGCTGCAAAAAAAAAGGAATCAATTGATTAGTTATTAATGTTCACACGTGACATTTATTTTAATATAAATTGGCTTACTATTCAATGAAAACTTGCTATCACAGGATCGAATATTAATATGTCATCAAGCGAATTCATTATTATTGTTCAAAACGACGAGACGGCGAATCAAGAATTCAATAATGTTTTTTTAAAAAAACGAAAGAACAAGAAGTAAAAACAAGATTGAATTGCTCTTCCTTTGCCATATTTTGCCAAAGAACAAGAGAATGGATAAGAGACTAGTGATGTGTGACGCAACTGATGAGACCTGACGAAACCATGACGCAACCTGACGAAACCATATGTTGCGTCACTTACGCATAACGCATGACGCAACTCAAACATATGTTTTAAGGGTCACGTGAGCAGTTGCGTCAGGTCACGTGAGTTGCGTCACACATCACTAGTTGTAAAACGCATGTTATGACTTCTCACATCATAAATAACAAACTATGTAATTGAAAAATATGCTATTATGTTGTTAAACAATTAATGAAATAAAGAAAATTAAGTTTATTGTCATGAAATTTGTTATTTTTAGAGCTGCCTATCCAAATTTGATGAAAACTTTTTATTTAATTCTATAAGTTCACAGAATTAAAATAAAAATTTTTATTGAATTTGAATGGATGGTTGTCAAGAAATCTTCATTTGAAGTTCAAAAAAAAAAAATTTTACCCGATTTAGTTTTTTTCTATATTATAAAATTTTTTTAAAACTTTTAGTGAAGATTTCTCGATAACTACTTAACCGATTTCAATGAACATTTTTTATTTTAATTCTACAGATGTATAGAATTAAAATAAAAAAACTTTACCAAATTTGATCAAGTAGTCATTGAGAAATCATTGTTAGAAGTTTTAACAACATTTTGAATTTAATTGGGCTTAAGTTTTTAAAAATTAGAGTACAAATTTTCTTTGTTTTCAGAAAAAAAATCGGTGGTTATACATATTATTATTTTAAAATTTGTTTATTGAAATTCCTTTATTTATATCGCAATATAATATATAAATAAAATATGTTCTGAAAAATGTAATATAGAATATGAACACTAATTCATTGTGATCTAATACAAAATATTTCAAAGACTAAAAAGAGATTAAGTTTTATCAACATATTTCCCTTTTCCTTTTTTATTACTTTTTCTTTGAGTTATTCCAACGTTGTCTTTAATCGGCTCAGGTTTTTTAACTCGTGTTTTCTACAAAAGAAAAAGGATAGCAATTAATATTACATTACATCAATAGTTGACTATACGAAAATTAGTAATGAGAATAAAACGCTGATTTACCTCTATAATAATTTTAGTATACTGATATGTTTCAAAAGTATGCGAAACCAATAATGATAGAGGAAATTTATTCTTAATAACATTTTTATCTGCCCAATCGGGCCAACATTCTAATCCTTCATCTTCAACCATATAATCCGCAAGATTCACGGATTCGTTTATATTTTCACTAGTAGTCAAATATCTTACAATGAATCTTTTTAGCGCAATAGCAAAAACTCCAGCTGGAATACATGACTTGACATCGTTTGCTTGTTCTTGTTTTGATGTTTCAAACCCGATTGCTTTTGAAATCTCTCGTTTTAATGAATCTTCAAGTTTGGCTTTATATTTATGATGAATGCAAGTAGCAACCACATCTGCAACATGTTCTTCTACCAATTCATATAATGCTACTATATGTTTAAGTTGTAAACCAGCTCTTGACAATAGCCTATAACTACTATTGCTTTCTTTTAGCACTGTTAATTTCATCCAATTTTCTATATAATCGGTGATTAATGTATTACCATCACCTCCGGAAGTGCGTTTAAGGAAGCAAAGT